GGATGCGGGAGCGGGGAGGCTACTTCCGCCCATTTTTGGTCTTGTTGACATCCCTAAACACATATCGTACATAGGGGTGTAAATGAGCCGAACTACTCGTGAGCTCAGGGCCAATTCTGAAAAATTAAATATTCTGAAAGGCTCAGGACGAACAAGAAAAAAATGGTCCTTATCTTTATTATAATTTTTTATTTTTATATAAAAATATATAATGAAAAAATTGGGCCCTTGCAGCTGCCCACTTTGCTCCTCGCTCAACGCCCCCCATGCGTGAGCTATTCAAGATCGTCTCGTTAAAAACTCGACTCGAACTCGGGTTAAACGAGTTTGAGCCGAGCTCTAGCTTAGTTTCAGGCTCATTTATTACACACGCTCGAGCCCGAGCTTCATCTATCGAGCTCGATTAAACTCGCGAGCCTAAACGAGCCAATGCATATTTATGTAATATAATTTTTTAATTCAAATTTTTTATTAATATATAATTAATAATTAAATATTATATATCAGATAATGATAAACGAGTTTTTTAGCGGGCTTAAAAGCACAAATGAGCTTTGTATTTGACTATTAGCCGAGCTAAGCTCGAGCCAAACTTAGGCTCATTTATGCACGTCTGACAAACGAGTCTAGCCCGAGCTCGAGCTTACCGGAACACAATTATGTAACTACATAACTCATTTTACCACGGTAAGTAAAACGTTCATATATATTAATATTTTTAAAAGAACATAATGAAAATGACCATTGTGAGAAGTAAGTAAGGGGTGATTGGCCTTTTGAAAATCAGAGATGATTCTTGTGGGTCAAGATTGCCATGCTAAATTGGCTTACCAAAACTCAAGTTGTTGATTAGATTAATAGTAAAATAAGTATATATTGCGATTGATGGAACCATTTATGATATTAAACTCGAATCTTTAAAATGGAAATGGTAAAAAGAGTCAATTATAAGCCACCATTCAATCAATTTAGAGTACGGTTTTTCTTGGAGCTTGGGTGCCAATATATTAGGTGTTATATAATAATAATAACAATAAAATAAAAAACGTTTACTTTTGGAAATATCATGTAAATGACCCAATGTGGATAATCACTAATGGAAGTCAATGACTCTTACACCTCATCCTTTACTTGCTACATATCCACTACATCATCCATCATTTAATATTTCATTTGATCCAAAATTAAAACTAAGATTATGAGTCATATATATTAAATATTAATAAAAGGTGAGAATAAATTTTGTAAACAAGAAACACCTTCAATGAATTTTCTCCATTAAAAAATCTTAAACGAGGTTTGTGTTGAAATGCCAATTTTTTTATATTTACCATCTTAAGGTTGTCGAATCTAATAGGTTTTAAATATATGCATATGATATTATGATATACAAGATTACAAAGATAACGAGACAGATGTATAAAGCTAAAAGGTCAATTCTTTACCGTGATGGGCTTACTATTTTCTTATAATAAAATATAAATATAAACTAGGCCACCAATGAGCTACGGATGCCCTTCTATAGCCCATGTAAGAAAAAAGGTTTATTTTTCTCTTTATTTATTATTATTTTATTTTATTTTATTTAGTTTTGAATGTAAAAAGAAAAACAGTTTGATGCATTATGTATTGACCTCTCTCGATCTTTCTCTATTCTGCATAAAATAACAAATACAATCCACACATAACCCAAACTCGTCACTCATAAATGTGTCAACAACGAACGTCAATTCTTTACAGTGATTCCGGACGTCCTAATTAGAAAAAAAAATTGTCGTTCAAAAGCTGTTCAAAGGTCAAACCAGTCAAACCCACCCTCATTTCCCTGTTGGATGTTTTCATTTGTGGTAGAGACCACATTATACCACACTATACCACGACCACACGATTGTGGTCGTTGCCATCTCAACCATAAACATGGTCTGTGACACCGACTCTTGTTTGAACTTATGATCCAACCTCATCAAAATGAAGAAATCTGAATGACAAAATCGAAAGGATAGTTGTTTGGAGTAGGACTTTACGGTTATAAATATTCGTAGCTAGGGTTCTTAATGAATCACTTTGTAACTGTTGAGTAATAAAGAAATCTTCGATTCTTACCCATGGACATAAGTCATATCGACCGAATCACGTTAATTATATGTGTCGTATGTATCTTAATCTTATAAACTAGAAATAGTGTGTAATGTTATAACTACATTATACTATGAATTATTATTATAGATTTGTGATTTCATTTAAACAATTTAATCGGTTGTTGGAATATAATGAACTAGTGAAATTATTAATTTCAGGAATTTTGATTGTGATTTTATTTGTTATCTATTTAGGGTTTATGTTGGACAACAAGGTATGACTAATGCCATTGTTGTTGAGGGATTTAATGGTTTGAACCAAACATAGCGACTTTCTGGTCATATCTATGAGGTTAATAGTTTTTCATAATAGCTTGTTGAAAAATATAAAGATCTAATGAGAAAACATCAATCGTTTACTACTGTCTTTTATAGCAAAGTGAAAGTGTGAAAAACAAGTAAGGGTATACAACTAAATGCTTATGTTGATGTACATAGACATCTATTCGTAATCGCTTTGCGGGTTGGTGTTGTTTTTCTATATTGTTCCATGACTGCGTTAAACACATCAAAATCACTCGGTCCACTTATTGTGCAAGTTGTTGAGATTATTGAAGATTCCACAGAATTTGGTACATTTCAACCTCAAATCGCACCATTTTGAACTAATTTGGTTGAGATTTTGGCTTTCATGCCCCATTAAATCACAAAAAACGGTTAAAACTTTTTCTCAAAAACAACTTGATGTTTGAGCATCTCCAACGGCGGGTTGGGAAGCCGAAATACACGCTTGCGCTAAATTTACTTCTTCCTCCTTTGTCCAAGCCACCCTTTTGTTTTGAGTGATTTTAGCGGGGTTTTCCCCCCTTTCTTCCTTATTGGCTAGGGTTGTTCGAGTTGTGTTTCAGCAATAAAATGCGGAGGATACAGTGGTGAAAAATGTGGGTGTAAATGTTATGGCGATGAAGGTTGTGGTTGTGTTCGGAAAGCTTGTTGGTATACGAAAGCGGTTTGGAAGTGTTGTTGATAGGTTAAGAAAGCTTGATATGATTGTCGAAAATTTTGAGTTTGTAGGATAGGAGAACCACTTTGGAGCAAATTCATAAAACCACCTCGAGGTGATTTCATATTTGGGTGTTGATGTGAAGTTGTATCTAACCCAAAAGGGTTATCGGATTGCAGGTTCGATTAATTGGTAGGGTATTTGGATTTTGATCCATGATATTTGGATTTTGACAAGATTAATGTGTGTGTATGTACATAGAGGAAGAGAAGGATGGTATGAAAATATAAAGTTACATGAGGTTTTATTTATAGGTAAAAATATATTAAAAATCAAAAAAGAAAAAAAGTGTAGTTCAAAGCTAGTCAAAGGTCAAACCAGTCAAACCCACCCTCGTTTCCCTATTGGATGTTATTATTTGTGGTAGGCAGACCACGATCCACCGTGATGGTATGCACGGTCGTGGTCGTTGCTATCTCAACCACAAACTTGGTCTGTGACCAGTGGCGGAGCCACAGTGTAATAAGGGGGGTCCATGGACCCCACTTGAAAGCTGATATTAACCACATTTTCCTAATAACCCTTAAAAAATTCATCTTTTCTTGAAATTATCTCTTTTGGCACCTATTTTGCTGAAAAACAACCCTTAAAAATTTATTTTGCTGAAATTATCCATTTGGCACCCACTTTTGCTGAAAGAACATACTTTTATAATATTTTTAACAAAATTACTCCCAAATAAACCTCATAATTTCATATTTTTGTTTAATTTTTCATATAAGATGGACCCCAGTAATATTTTTTTCTGGATCCACCACTGTCTGTGATACCCACTCTCTCACTCTAGTCGGCCTAATATGATATTTCTAATTTCTTTTGTCGTACAATATTTATTTATTAAAAAAGTAAATAAATAAAAGTCAATAAATAAATAAAATCATACAAATCAAGTGATATCATTAAAATAACTACCTTAATTGTAATTCTTTTTTTCTGGGCCCATCTTGCTAGGTGGTGGTCCCTTATAATATTTGTCGGTTCTAAAAAAAAATTAAATTACTACCTTGTCGTTTTCCGTCTAAGGTGGTCAAAGTTGCAAACTTAAAGCCTAAATCAAATTTATCACGGAGTTTATTGTCGTTTGCACTTTTTAAAGTTTGCAAAAACCATTTCCATTTTGATTTGAACTGGATGTCAATTGCCAAATAGTATTTTTCTTATTCAAAAAATACAGCACATAAGACAAGCTTTTAAGCCCGTTTTTTATTTTGGCTTTTGACAAAAGTCACAAACCTAAACAGTTGTAGTTGACTTCTATGTAAAACATAAAATAATTACTCGTATAATTTTCTTTCATACAAATTATTCGGTCTAGGTTGAGCAATTTATATTTTGTTTGATAAATATTAGTGTTAATATTAAAGATTTTTAAAAAGCTTACAAATCTTAACCTAACATTTATTTTTTTAGAATATCTGTAACCTTTGGATATGACCATTTAATCTGTAACCTTTGGATATGACCATTTAAACACCATATCTACTACATCATCTCTAATAAATGAATATTTTTATTTGTCATTTGTTACAGTTTCATTTAATTTTTCAAATGTTATTTGAGGGTTATTTTGAATTAATTTTTTTTTCTATATTTCATTTTATGAGTTTTCTATTTTATTAAACTTCATATAATATTTTAATGTAATAATCGTAATAAATGTAGTAATATGAATATCAGTTTTATTATTAAATTTATCTTTTAATTTCAAAATTTCAAAATATAAAGTTCATTAACATTTTTTTTATTTAAATTTAAAATATAAAAAACATTTTTCATTATAATAATTTATTTCTTTTTTTATTTTATTAGTTTTTAAATATTTTAACCTTTATATTTAATTTATTTTTTTAATTAAGTCTCAGTGCATTAATAACCAACAAAGTATAAACCAAAAAAAAATTGAAACAGATAGCACAAAACAATAGAATTAGGTTTCCGACGATGCACGTTACTGAGACCACACCGTTGACCGTCGTTGACCACCGTAACTTCTCCCGATCCAAATACCACCTGCATCTGTGATTCGCTATCATCTTCCTATTCTTCAATAACCAATGTTTTTCCGTTGTAATTCTACACTCTAATACTTCCACTTCAACTGGAAAACTATCGTTGATGCCCACAAACTATTCGACGAAATGCCATAAAGAAACTTCTTTAAAAGAATCGAATAATATCCCCCACCTATCAAAATCACATCTCCCTCACTATATCCACCACCGCCGTGTAAGTCCCAACAACCGCCACCACAACCCCAATCACCACAATAAATCCAATACCCACCGACTCAAATCCAAATCTCCGGTAACTCCCTGAAATCTTCAAGTAACACAAACACGGGAGTATAATCGACGCTGTGACACTTAAAAAAGCTCCGACCAGTGACATCAAGTATCCGAAGAACGGGAGAGACAGGGCGACGATTACTGTGCTTATTACCAGTGATGTTCGAATCAAGAGGCTGAATTTTCTCGTGTTGTAAAAAGATAGAAATCGTTCTTCGAGAGTGTCGACGATTGGTGTCACCATGAGTGCGTATTTTGCAATTGGGTTTACGAGAGTTGTACAAATGGCGATTCTTGAACTTAATTTGTGGGTGGGGAGGTTTAATGTGATTTGTGAGTTTAGATTTGAACCAAACATAAGGTAACCCAAAATTGCCATTGAGGAGTAAGTAATCGTGCAAAAGATGAAACATAGTAGTAAAACCTACATTTAAAGAACAAAAAAATATATATTATTATAATAATTTTTAAAATAGTTATTATTATTTTTTTTTCAAAAACCCTAATATGGTGCATATTGTTATGTCTTGGAAGAATAATGTGAGATATTAATCTTGATTTGCAATATATTAATCTTGATTTGCAATAACATGTAAAATGTAAATATGAGATGTAAATTAGATTATACTAAGCTAATATTGGAATTGAAACTCTTGTAATATTTTTGCATTCTAGCTAGGAAAATAATTAATTTAGGATAAATTACAAATTTGGTCCTTGTGGTATACAATACCATTTGTTTTCAATTTGGTTCAAAAATAAAATTTGTTGCTATTTTTTCGTCGTTAAATATTCATGTTGTTTTCGTACAAAATCTGAAAAATCAAACAATACAGTAAAATGACTATTTTGCCCTAGTATGATACTTTGGTTGGAGTTATGGTTGAAGGGAAAAAGAAAGGGTAGGGTGAGGTTACGGTTAGATTGACACGAAATTTAATAATAATGAATGTTAATATCTTAAATGAGTAACAAACTATTTTTTTTTTCATAAAACATAATTGTTTTAAAAAAAATACTATAAATAGGTAAACAACTAAAAAATTTATATTATTTTGATTTTTAATATTATTTTATGAACAGAAATAAATAATTTGTAATATATTTATGGTATAATTTTATAAGGATTGATGTTTTATAAAATAGCAAATAGATTGTTATCTATTTATGAAATTAACCTAATAATAACACTAAACATATTAAAATAAGAGGCAAATAGCTTTCTTTTACATGTTTTTAAGTGAGTGGGAAGGACTAAAAAAGTAACAAATTCTCTTTGGACCAAATCAAAAACAAAAGATACATCACAGGGACGAAATGTGTAATTTATTCTTTAATCCATGACTTTATACTAAAATTAACGTACCTTTTTGAACTGACGTTGGTCTCTCATGGAAGTATACAAAGTAGGAAAAACCGGATGAGCGCAATAGCAAAACGCATACAAACTAATAGCCGAAGGCATTCCTTTCCAATTTACCATTTTACCCTTTTCCTCAAACCCAACTCCATCAAACTCACCAACCCACAAAATCGATCCTAGAATAATCAAAGAAGCCAAAACCCCACTTGCTGATATATACGAAAGAATGCTCATACTATTCAACCAAATTGTTGGAAGAATAATTGCTGCAACAATAACAACAAAGCTTTTCTTCCCACTTACATTAATCCCATAAAACTCTAACCCCATTTCGGGTAATAAATTGCTTAAATTATCTCCTTCTAGAATTAGGAAGCCAGTGGCGACTAAGTAGAGTTCGATGTTCATGGTTACTGATACGATGATTCTACCGGTTTTACCGAATGCTCTGTGGCCGATGTCGGGGTATGATTTTATTGTGGGGTCTGTGTCCATGCATCGTTGGATCAGTAATCCTGTGTAAAAGGTTGAGATTGCTATTGTGAATAGCAGTAGCAAACTCAACCACCCTCCAGATGCTAATGCATATGGGACTGATAGAATTCCAACTCCTACGAAAATACAATTATGAAATGAAATGTAGTCTGATTGTAAAGTTGTGACGAAATGATTAAACGTTGATTCTAAAAATATACTATTGTCTAAAATAAATTAAAATGATTGATTTTTTTTTATCCTGTCTTAATTATAATCAAAAAGTTATTTCAAGTAGCTTTTGGTTTTTGATTTTATGTATCTAGAGCTTTTTTAGAGATTTATAAAACCAAAATCCAAAAGCTATTGAAATAGCTTTTTGATTTTATATATATATATATATATATATATATATATATATATATATATTATATATATATATATATCTATATATATATATATAATAAAAACTAAAAGTTGATGCTATTGATTTTTTTTTTACAATTTCTTGATAAAAGGTAAAACTCTTGCCAAATTGAATCATTTGAATTAGGGATGAGCAAAAACCGCACCGCAACTAAAATTAACCGCAAAAACCGCATAAACCGCAACTGATTAACCGCAACCGCAATAAAAACCGATGGTGATGTTTTCTGTTTTTCAAAAACCGTAAATTTGCGGTGCGGTGCGGTTATTAGTTTTCAAAAAACCGCAAAAAAACCGCACCGCACCGCATATATTATATACAATTTTTTTATTAATTATTAATATATTAAATATTAAAAATAAGACAAGTTTCATGGATGAAAGATTAATAAAATACTAGAAGACAAAAGTGTTGGTTTTTTTGTGATGTTTAACTTTGCTTTGAAATGATGATGATGAAATTAGACAATTTAAGATATTTATTGTTAATTACTATTGATTTGACGTTTTTAAGATATTAGTTGTTTGTGATTTAAGTTAATTGTCTTATATCTTATGGTTTTTTTTTATTATTACAAGTAATATGTTTGAACTCTTAAATCCGTTTGAGCTCCAAACTGTGGTTAAAAACCACACAAAATAACCACACCAAATCCATGCGGTTAATAAGCGCAACACAGAAAAAACAAAACCGCACCGCAAAAATAACCGCCTAACCGCACCGCAAAAATAACCGCACCAAGCGGTTTTGAAAATGGATTAACCACATTTGCGGTTAGTGGTGAGGTTTTGACTAATAACCGCACCGAACCGCACCGCGCTCACCCCTAATTTGAATCATGACCTTTGATTCATTACCATATAAGGGAATACCAACAATATTAATATATATCTTATGCTTGCAATTTTTTCTAAATTAATGAAATATGATATTTATTGTAAACTTTGGAATCAAACATATGTAGCAAAAAAGTTAATATCTTATGGTTGCAAGTAGTTTACATATTTTCCTAAATTAATGAAATATGATATTTATTTTAAGCTTTGGAATCAAACATATATAGCTAAAAAGTTAATGTCTTATGGTTGCAAATAGTTTATCATTTTTTTCTAAATTAATGAAACATGATATTTATTGTAAGCTTTGGAATTAAACATATGTAGCTGAAAAGTTAATTGTACCATGATTCATTTTCCCAAATAAGAGAGTATTCCAAAAAGAAATCTAACATTTTAATTCTTAATTTCATATCGAATATTGTTGACCCTTGTTCTTATAGTTCATCTGTTATGTGGGAATTAATGGAATATTCTATGGTAAAAATTGGTTGATTTTAACTGTAAATTTAACGTCTAGTATGTTGCATGGAAAAAGTTTATAATAGTTTTGAGAAATTAAAGGTAGAACCACAACATAAACAACTAAATCCAGCCCAAATTTCGGTGAAAATCACGTAATTTCATCAATATCTTATAAATCTAATCGTTTTCAATTTGAAAACTTCCGTTATCCAAACCGATCGATAATTCCTTCCGGCGTAGTTTCCGGTGATAGAATTTGAAATCCGGCGACGGGTTTGACCTCTATTTTGGTCAAAATCACCGCCGCCTTCAAATTCCATGACCTAATCAGTCGTACAACTAAAATCGATAAATTAAAAGGGGAACTCGAGAGTAACCTGATAGAGCATTGAGACCGTTGAAACATGTGTTGAAGAAGGAGGAAGTTCCGGTGGTGGCGGCGGCGGCGGCGATTTGGTGGTCCTCCGCCTTTGTTTCCTTGTCACTGGCAAGTAGTAGAGGTATTGTAACCGAATATTCTTCCTGCTTTTGGCCTTCCATCAGATTTCAGATCCACAGAGAGAAAGAGAGAAAGGAATTTGGCAGAGAAAAAGCGAACATGCAGAGATAATTGAATTGGAAGGTTATGGAGTTTTATATACTGGTGAAGGACTGAAGGTGGCGCATGTTTGTGTTATGGCGTTTGTCGTCTTCATCATGTATTCATATGTATGCGTTGGTGGTGTGTCCTCCGTTACTTTATCTTTGGGCCCAACCCCAATCCAAGAAAAAACATTTGTATGTGTTTTGGTTGAATGATATTATATTATTTAGATAAACATTGTTGTCTTTTATTGGGATATAATATATTTGGTCTAGTAAATTGTTTAGATTTTGGTGTAGAGTTGTTTGTGTTAAATTGGTATGGAATAAGGATATTTATGAACATGACAATTTTCCTAAATTAGTTATAATAAACTTACTGTTATTTTTTTTCATCAAACTTTTTGTTAGTGTTCTATACATATTAAAATGATATAAAATTAATTTTTTTTAATGAAAAACTAAAAAGAAGAAAGAAGAAATAATGAATTCAGAGAAAGACAGAAAGAACTAAAAATTGCAGAAATAATTTAGGTTATTGTTAAAAATATGTGGTTTTTAGTCAAAAATGTTTGTTGGTGCAATAGTGGTTAAATTTTAGATATTCATTATCTTTAATAATTTGATTTATGTTAACTTTTTTATAACAGTAAATTACAGTTTTGGTCCCTATGGTTTAGATAGATTTGCACTTTTAGTTAAACTTTTGAAAAATTGAAAGAACAAATTATTGAAATTGTCCCTATGGTTTGGTCAAAATTGTGTGTTTGGTCCCTAACAATTTTTTTACACTCGGACCGTCCTTATAGTATGATTTTGTTGCGTTTATAATCCCTCCCCGACATGAAAGGGCTATATTGCCCTTTATATTTTCTTTTTTATATTTTCTTTTTTATATTTTCTTATTATTTGTGTATTAGTTATTAATTAAATAAAATGGTTTATAAACATGTGGGACCCACTCATACTCCACGACAACCACTAGATGTCACCGACAACCAGCACCGAGTACCGTCGACCACCATCGGTCACCGTCAACCACCATCGGCGACTGAAACCACCATGCACCTATATCGACGGCGTCACCATCTACCTATGCCTACACCACCACCAACCACATCATCGATTTCATCAGGTGACATCTAATATTAAATCCCAGAAATAAAAACCAGTCCAAGATAAATTAATATACGAATCCCTTCCACAGTCGCTGCCACCATCCACCACCATGGCCACTTAAGCTAAAATCATCACCTTGAACTGAAAATAAAACCTAAAATCGGAATATGAAACTGATATCAAATCCAAACCTCAAATCAAAAGAAAATATCAAAATCAAAACCCAAAGGAGAGATTTCATTCGGTGTTATTTAGGTCACACTCATACCAACCATCTTCCCCACCTCTCTAATTCTCTTGTCGACACCGTGTCTCTTTCTCTTCGGCACCACCACTATCACCACCACCCATCCACCCTTCTTCTACATGGTAATAAAATCCAAGACTAATTTCAAAAACTAAAGCAAAAAAAACTTATCTACTTTAAAAAACGAAAAAAATGTTACTGATTTGAAACCAAAATTGAAGGAGATGGAACCCATTTACAGTAGTATGGAGAGAGGATGAAGACAATATGTGAAGAGGATAAATACATTGAAGGATATGGAATAAATTTTACAAAGATTTACACAATTATGTGAACAAGACGAGGAGATGAGGATACGAAGTCAATTTCAAGGGCTGTGGGTTTGGTGGTGTCGCTAGAGGATCTAAAATGGTGAACAACGGAGAAATCGAGCATCAATGATGAAATCGACAGTACAATAGAGACAAACGATGGTCCAGGGATCCGAGATTGACATTCCCCTCCTAATTCGAGCTGAAATCAAACAACGGTGTAGAAATCGATCAACTATGGAAAGACGTCGATGATCGATGGTGGTGATGATCCAATTGTTCCCTGTGGTTGATGACGATGACTTTAGGGTTCTTCAATTTAAGATTTGACAAGAAAACAAAAAAGAGGGGGGGGGGGATAAGATGTACGTATCAGATTGCAAAGGGATTTAGGGTGGGCACAATGGGTTTGGGCTAATTTATTTTCTAGTTTAATAAGTAATAAAAAAATCATAGGTAAATAAAAAAAATTAATAGAGGTATTATAGTCATTTCATGGCTGTTAGGGACGAAAATCATAACAAAAAGAAATCAAAGGGACGGTACGAGTGAAAAAAAAGGCTAGGGACTCAACACAAAATTTTGAGCAAACCAAATGGACGATTTCAGTAATTTGTTCAAATTGAAAAGATGCATCTTCATAGTTTAAAGAAATTATTACACTGACCATCATTGGTCCATTTGAAAAGATCATTTTACCATTTCTATATATATATATATATATATATATATATATAAGAATATATATATAGATAGATATATATATATATATATTAACTTAGAAATGTTTAGAGAGAAAAACTAAAATATAATAGAAATGGTAAAATGGTCTTTTCAAATGGACCAATGATGGTCAGTGTAATAAATAAGATGATTTACAAGAAAAAAATTCACAAAAACTACCTTCATGATTCATTTTTAAGTAAATTAAGAAAAAATTCAATTTTATGACAATTTTAGTGAATATCAAGAAAATCATCGTAAAATTGAATCATCGAAATGCTTTTTTTTTTTGGATTTTTTTTGTGAATCATGTAATTTTTTATTTATCTAGTGATTCATTTGTTTTGTTCGTCAAAAAAATTTGCCAAAAAAAACTTCTTACCTTCCTACCAATTTTTTTTCTTACCGAATCTCTCTCTCTCTCTCTCTCTCTCTATATATATATATATAGATATATATATTATATATATAGATATATATATAGAATATAATATATATTCTCTACAAAAGAATTTAAACAAACATTTTTCTTTAAAAAATTCAATTTTTTCATCGAATATATTCCCTTATATGCGATTTTTATGTTTCTAAAGTGAAAAGAAAGATTAGATATCTCAAATTATTAATTTCTATGTATTTCGACTGATTTTCTAGGGTTTCAAGGTTTTATGCATTTTCTATTGAACCTTCCATAATATATATATATATATATATATATATATATATATATATATATATATATATATTCACCTCTTATAAAAGAAATCTCACTATTTCTATAAATAGATTCAATATAATAATAATAATTTTTTAAGACGTCCAAACTGTTAAGCTAATAGTACAAGTAAACACTAATAAATAATATTAAAATTTTAAACATTATGTTTAAATCCGAAAATATAAGTAAATCCCACAAAACATGAAGCAGTAAGTACAATATTTTAATGCTTTATCTCAAAGGCTTTTGACGCGGTCCCTTTAATGTTGATGGAGTCAATATTAATTTCGATATTTCTGGCAAATATCTCTCTGTTCCGAGCTGCCTTCACCTACATCTCTCTTGATCTTCAGGGCGATTCAAGAATTGCAACACTCATTCTCTTCACCATCTCTCTTCGCTCACACTAAGCAACACTCATGATTTGAAGAATCAGAAGCACCGAGTCTTAGCTATCTTTTGTTGATAAATGATTTCTTGAACAACATATATTTCATGTACACATAATGGATTCGCCTGTTAATGTTGTAGAAATCCACCGACTTTTTAATTGATTTGTTTTTTAATTGATTTCTTTATTTTATATTCAAATATCTCCATCTATGTGTAAGGAAAATTGTGATCTTCAACATCAGTGCGATAATGGATTCCTTTCTTAGAATTACAGGTAATTGGTCAAAATGCCTTTTCATTATCACTTAAGTCCTTGAATTTGAATCGTATTGTAATTTCATATCTGAAAAATTGAGTCCATGTGTTATACTTTATTCCAACAGACAAAATGTTATAGAAAATCAATCTCTCCATATGTTTGTTATGTTTGAAGGTCTCATGAAGTTCAATTGACTAGGGTTAACAACAACTTCAAAGTAACCTGAAGGGAGGAGATGATGGTGAATTTTTGGAGTTTTATGTCTTTAAATGGACTATCTAATTTTATCTTATATTAACTTTGTGTTGTTTTGTTGTTTTTGAATAGGTATATTGGAATCCAAAATTTTTCTTTTATTCAAACTCATTCATTGAATGGGTTTGCTACTTAAAGGGAAATGCCACCTAAAGCAAGAGAAACGACATGCTCTCCATGCTCCAACGCCACTAACACCATGTAACGATTTTTTTTCCTTCAATCAAGGTTCTAATTTTTATTCTTTATTTTTTTAGGAGTTGAAATTGGATGTATGGACTTTACTTCTGGGGTTCTTTTGTGGGTAATGGATGTTGTGGGTTTTGATTTTTTGGATTCATTGCAGTTCTGACTGTCAAATTGAAGCTGCATAGTATAAGTATTAAGCCTCTTATTCTTTCTTTCAATCGATCAATGATTCTGAAAAGTAATCAATAACTCTTCCAAATGATTTTTAACGGTGAGGAAACTTTCTTGAAACTATTAATTTCCTCATTTTCTTTATCCCTACTTTTTTTATTCTTTTCATTTTGGTTATTTACCCAAAATAGGAGTTATTATTGGAGGTAATTATCCTTTGAATTATTGTTTTACATAACATTGTAATTTGAGGATCGATGGATTTAACCAAGTTATATTAAGAAGCGTGTGAATATCTTTTTAGACAATATCAACATCAAAATTTGGCTAATACTCTCGACAATGACCATGGTATGATCCTATTTCTTTTTCTATGTGAATACCTAGAACTACAATTATTTATGAAGCCTACTGTTGAATAGTTGCTCGAAAAGATGATGCCCTTTTTCTCACTTACTCAAATGCATTACTCGCATTGCTTAATGGGTAAAAAGGTCATCTTATAATTTTCATGCCATCTTTTTTGCAAAATGGTTGCTAATTACATAGAAGTGCTAAAATTTAATATATTTTTAAATGCATAGTAATTTGTTTCTTATAAAAGTTATCACCATGTTTCAGTTTCACAACTTTAATCAAAGATTTATAAAAACAAAAAATATTTATCATAGACCATT